GTGGTGGCGCTGCCAGTGGTGGGGCAGTCCTCAGGAATTGCCACACCTGTCACTCCCTAGTGAATGGTGAGTATGGGATGCCAGAAAGCCTTTCCTCTGCATGGGGTACCTGCAAGGCAGCAGGGGCTGAGGCTAAGGGAGCATACCCTGACAGAAAAGCACCAGGCTTGGGAAACATCATGGAGGCCAGGATGGCCTGAGGTCCAAGGCCTGAATGAGTGAGGCCTAGTGAGAAGCCTAGAGGAGAGTGAAGTCCAGGTATGTCTACAGATGCCCAAGTCCTAAGCGAGCTGTAGACCAAGAGTAAGGTCCAGGCACATCAACAGACATCCGAGGCCTAAATGGCATAAGGCCCCACAGCCCCAGTGAGGGGGCGGAGTTGTAACCCAAGAGAGGGGTAGAGTGAGAAGGGCTAGGAGCCTAATGAGGCAAGAATCCCAGTAAGGGGGCATGAGTTGAGGCCCCAGTGAGAAGGCATGTAGCCAAGGTAAGTCTCCGGGACGCCTAAGGCCGAGTTTGGGTCAGAGGCTACGTGTGGCTCAACAACGGAGCTGGGGGAATAACAGCGGACAGTCTGGGCCAGTGGCCTAGTGCAGTCCAGCAATGGGGCCAGGGGAGTTGGGAGGACTTTGGATGCCATCTGTGAGGCAAGGGACACTGTAAAGAGGAGGTTGGAACCATGTATAGCGCTTTTGACATCAGGGCATTCAATGGGCAGCCTCCCACCTAGAAACATCCATTTATTGTACAACAAAGGCATGGTAGGCAAGTTAGGTGGGTGGACCAGCCTAGACAGATAGGCAGACCAATACAGTGACTGGCCCCGAGATAGCCTCCCGTCACACAAAGTAACAGGCCGTGTGGATTAGGAGGGCAGTAGATTATCACTTCTTAATTTTTGTAAGGCATCTTACACTCATGCAGACTCAGGACATTCGGTAACCTAGAGAAATATGCTCTAAATAAAACTAATGTAGGTACAGTGCTGGTTGGCAAATCATACTCAAAGAGTATTATTAATGGCTTGCTGTCATACTGGAAGGATGTATTTATTGGGGTTCTGCACAGGTCTGTTAACTTCTTGGCCATTGTTCAGTATTTCAATAATGATTTGGATGTTGAAATAGAGGATAAAGTTGTCAAATCAGCGGACAATATCAATCTGAGGGGAGCTGCCAGCAATTGGGAGGACAGGATTAGAATTCAAAATAACCTGGACAAACCGAAAGAATGTTCTGAAATAACTACAATGTAATCAAGTAACAACAAGTTTAAAGTATTATGCTTAGGCATCAATAATTAACTGCATGAACACAAGTGGGGAAACAGTTGGCTAGGGAGCAGTTCTTTGGAAATGGATCTGGGGTTTTCAATTGATCACAAACTGACCATGTGTCAAAAATTACAGAGTTTCAGGGGGAAAAAGCCAACATTGTACTGGATATATAAACAGGAGTGTCATATGCAAGATGCACAAAACAATCCTATTCTGCTCAGTACTGGTAAGGTCTCTGCTAGAGCAGATGTGGACCAACCAGAACAGGTCCAAAGGAGAACAACAAAGGTAATAAATGATCATTCTAGAAAGCCTGGCCTGGGAGGGAGGATTGAAAAGAACTGGCATTGGTTAGTCTCACGAAGAAAAAATTGAGGGGGGACCTATAATAGGCTTTCAAATATATATAAAGTTACACTAAAGCATTTGATGAAACTTTCTAACTGTTAAGATAGTTAAGCACTGCAACATGTGAGCTAGGGGAGTTGTAGAAACCACTGGAGGTTTTAAGAGCAGGTTAAACAAGCATCTGTCAGGGATGGTTTTGGTACAGCTGATCTTGCCTTCAGGAAGGTGCCTGCTTAGATCAGTGGTCTCCAAACTTTTTTGATTGCGCACCCCTAT